ACTAGTTTCAGTTGCTTTATATTTACAAACGATTTATCTTCAAGTTCTGGAAATATGACAACATTAGGATTTGTCACTTTTCGCATGAATTTCACCTCATATTCTCCATTTTCCTCGTCAATTATTATACCAGTATAATACATTTTTCTACAAACGTCGAAACATGACATGGGTCGCGCATTGTTAACAAATTGCGAAGTGACACGTTTTTTCAGTTTCCTACGTTACCATGATACCTTGCACAAAACAATGCGCGAAGTAAAACAGTGCGCGTAGTACCTACTTCGCGCATTGTTATGTAAAATATATAAGATATTTATATTCCACCTTCATGGTCCTCAATCGAGCAAACATCCACGAAATCATCCTTTTCTTAATGTTCGACAATAACTTTGTTTTATCTCTTGGAGCGCACGGAAGGAAATTTCTATTATGTTCGTGAAACAACGTGCGTACCTAGGGAGAATAGGGGGAGGCCCTTCAAGCCAGTTCAACACTATTTTTTTTATCAAGCTAAGCATATTTCTACTTCAGAACTATATTTTTTGACGTTCGTAGATAAAATGTTGTTCGCAACTCGAGCGCGAAATACTTTGGTCATCTCGACTATATTTTTAATTTGGCTACGCCTCGTTGAAAAAATCAGATCTCGATCACCAAAGTAGCATTTCGCGCTTTAGATACAAAAATAACTATTCAGATTTTTTTGTAAGGAAAACAATTACATAATTCCCAACTTCAACATCATCTGAGTCTGGACAATACACAGCAGTCAGATTCTGAATTTGTTTCAGTACTGATTATGTAAAGTAAGATTCATTTTCCTTCATTTGCGGAGTTGGTAAAGTGCAGATATAGTCTGGAATTTTTATGAAATTGTGAGCTTCGATTTTATCAATCACAAGTATAGCAGAACGTAATTGAAACCAAGTGCATAGAACACCAATATCAGAATTGTGACAATCTGCAGTAACAAGTCCTATAATATATGGATTTCCTACATTTTTTTGACTTGAACATAGCCCATTCTCCTACACTAATTTCTAAGTTTGTTTGAATAGTCAGCTCTGTAATGTGGGTTTTTTGAGAATCTGGAAAATAAAATTTGTGATAAATGGTTTTTCAAATTTTCTTCGTGAACTAACGACTCGACTAACGATTATGTATGTATGTGTGTTCAGGAACGAAATACACAAATTACGCACCCTATTAGAGGATTTGGTGTATTCCATTTCTCTCACTCTCACAATTTTGTCTGAGCTTAACTTTTCATTAGTTTTGTTCAACAGCCAACAAATAGATGATTTTCTTACACCGTATTCGTTATTTGAAGAATCCTCAACAACAGTAAATGGACTAGTGCTCGACAACTTCAATTTATTATTTGAATAGTCTTTCATTTCCAGTTGACCTGTTATGGTTTGTAGAGTTAGAAAGTCTTGTTGAAGTTCATTTTCTATTTCAAAATCCTGTAGAACACAATTATTTTGCGCGATAGTTTATATATTATGAGCACAGATTAACAAAGTTCGTTAATCTGTGTTATGACGGTACAAGAGAAGCAGATGATGAAAATAAAAAATAGTTGTATAATTTAGACCCTTTCAATGCCATTTCGCAAACAGAAAGGAATTTCAGGAGTTCCTAAAATATAATGAATTACTCACTTCGTTGAAGATATTAGGCCGAGTATCCTCGATATTATTAGAGTTTTGGCTAGAGTTTTCATCTCCTTCATTGCCACCATCATCATCACCATCAGTATCAGAACTCGAGTCGAAATTGCTTCCATCATTCGATGCATTATCCAAATTATATTCCAAATATTAGTTGATCTGATGGCAAATCAAATGTATTTGATTTGACTTTATTTTGCTTTCTCTCGAATCGTGGAAAGACAATATCTGATTCATCTATCAGAATTTTATTTTGAAATTGAATTCGTTTCACTCTATGCAAAATATCCAGCACACTGCAATTCACAATTGTTGATTAAGTGGAAGACATGGATCTTACTTGTCTAAAAAAGGATTTGCAGGGTGGACTACTAAACAACTCAGGTAAGAATAACTCTGAACGATGTGTTTCTCTCAGGTACCTGATTGTGTGTATGAGAGCATCCGCTTTAATTTCTATAGAGTTATAATAATTGAGAGTTATAAAATGTTTCTTGATGTTATAACTATCATGATCTGATATCCAAGCACGCCATAATTTGAAACACAAAAATGAATACCACATATTATAGATTCTTTGCAATGGTTCCACATCAGAATCTGAATAAGAGCTCAGAATACTAGCGAGCATTTTCAAAAACTGGCAAGTTCCTTCACTCTCTGGTACGGATTTTTCGAGCAATTTCATGACGTTACTGTCATCTTTTCTACAGAAGGAAAATTCATTTTGTCTTTCGGGTTGAGATCGGATTCAGTGAGTAGATGTTTATCTTTCGATTCCAATTGAATCAACATTTTGAGATGATTAACATTCACTAATTTATCTCCCATAGGTAAAATGACAGATTTTTTTTATAAATCTGTTTCTCAACTTTGTTCCAATATGCACAGTATCTTGAGAGACGAAATATTCTTCAATTTTGATACTGAACGCAGTATCAAGACGATGCTGGCTTTTCATTTTCATTGCTTTCAGACATCTTAGATCTCCATCTGATGAAAACTCTAAAACTGTTATTCCATTTTCCTAGCATTTTTTCTTATAAACTGCCACCGATTCATAACATGTTGGGCTGTAATTTTTTTTTCTGTTCCAAAAATACACAGAACAAATGGTGATGTATTGAGTTGCAATAGCTGTACCATGATGGTATAAACCAAAGAAGAGACTGGAGTTATGGTAATGTATTCTTCCATGATTCTGGGTGATGTTGCAAGAAACGCTTCACAAGTCGGCATTCCATTTTCATTCATTGGTAGAACCAATCCAACTAATTGATTTGTTTAGGATCATATCGAACTGTGCTAGTTATGCGAGTTGCATCTTTGCTTATCCATATAATGGTTGGAACTTTCAGACTGAAATGATCAAGTCGAAATTCCACGAAAGTTTCGGTAGATTTAAAAAAAAATCGTAGAAGAATGATAAGACATTTGAAAGAGACAATAATGATAATGTTCTGGAAGATGATAAAGAGTTTTCCATATGTTGCGTATAAGGTTTCATATTTCTGCCACTAGTGACTGTATATTGAGTAAAAATATGATTTTCAAAAATCATTTGTTGTGAAAATTGAAGGCACATCAAGAAAGAACGAACAAATCACGAAGCGGTCCATTTGTTTCATCATCATTCGTTCCTTTGTTTCGTTCATTTCTAATGATTTTCTTGAATGGTTTGCAAGAATTTCTACAGTATAGAAACTTTCACTGGAATAAATTCGCTAGCGTTTTATTGTATTTCTCCTCACTTTGCAAGCAATACGGGGAATATAACAATTCAGAGGTAGCTAAAACTTTATCAGTGCACTGCATTTCTCTTCTAGCCAGTTTTAAGGGGTCACAATGTCACAAGCCATAGGGTTGCATTTGAAAAAAAACTGTTGGAGCTGATTTAAGCTACCCCTGAAGTATTATATTCATCATATCGCTTGCAAAATGACGATGAATACATTGAAACGTTGACGAGTCTTCTGAATTTTTAGAAAAATCATTCACTTCTTCCCTAGCGAATTTAATCCAGTGAAAGTGTCCACACTACAGAAATTCTTGAAAACCATTCAATACAAAACAAAGAAACATATATATATATATATATATATTTGTAGAAGGGTAGTCGTTGCTGACTAGTTTGGAATAAACTAGGGAATATTGGGGACTGCAGCAAAGTCAAAAGAGTACTCTTTAAAGTTGGTCCAAGCTTTCGAAAATCTTTATTTCCATCATCAGGGAGTCTGTAAAGTGATTATTCATGAGTATCATGTAGTTTAAGTGATGAAATCTTTGTGTACTTACAACTTTGTTGGGGATGGCTGACATGATGTTCATGTATAATTTCTTTATGTGTCTTGGTAACATAACATGAATAAGCCCAAAAGTCATCGATAAAAATACATTACATTGAATAACACACGTTAAAACATTATAAAACTAAGTTAAAAGTCACATCTTCCACCACATGGTTGGAATTGTTGGCAGATAAGGTTATTGCAAATGGTGCCGGGAAATGAGTTTTTCTGAAAAATGACCATGACTGACATATGACAGTGTGTGTGAAGACAATTGTCATGTCAAAAATGCACAAACAGTGGTACTAACAGACAATGCGTACCAACGTAGAATACTGTAATTTGAAATGATTATGAGTTATCTATATATATATATTTGCCGATTCAGTTAAGATGAAGTGATTAAATAGGTAGGTACTCATGGAGATATTCTTTCAGTTCTTCTATACGAAGTTGGCCCTCGATTACCTGTGGACCATTTTCAGAAAGATATCGATTTACAGATGTTAATGAAGGTAAGGGTAAATTTGCGCTCAAAGTCTCATAGGAGAGTCTTCCACTGATCATGAAAATATTAGAGGCAAACATCTTGATCGTATTATCATATCGATATCCGTGACACTCTGGTAAAGTTTCTGACCTTTGCTTAGAAAGAGTCATAAATTTGTTCAGTAGATTAAACGCCTTTTGGTTTTTATGGTTCTCTTCAGAAACAGTTTGTGGTTTAGTGGGCAGGGATTCCTGGGAGCATTCCTCCAAAAGATTCTTCATATATTCCTTCAGATCTTTGTTATGTTTCAGTAATATCTCCATTTGACTCAATGCGCAGAAATAATGAGTCACTGGTTTTTCTGTAGTAACACTCTTGACTCTCTTCCTCAATGTCACTTCTGGTTCTCAAGTCTTTCTTTATTTTTCGTTCGATTCTTGTTTTGATTCCTGATTTTACAAAAAAATTTACAGTATTATAGAAAATTTCGAGGTTTCTTCACATCAACATCTTATTGAATTGAAATTAGGATAGGTACCAACTCACCATGTTTTGTAGTTTGTTCAGTACTGAGCTCGGAATTTGTCGAGATTTTACTCGTTTTCTCGAAACGAGCGATCTTGTTATTGACACTCATCAGGTCTCTCCTTGACTCTTCAATCATTCGAGCTTCAATTTCTTGGCTCTTGGTCTCACTCTCACAAGCCTGCTCAACCTCGTTATCAAGGATTTCTGAAAAAGTCGTAACGCAAAATTCAACTCATAATGAAACATTAAAATTCAAGCTCGAATATAGGCCTTGAGTTATTTACCACCTGTGGTACTTGGTAGGGTTGAATTATTCTCCTCAAAACAAAAAACCCTCAATTTGTTTTGAGGATGGATTCCCCCGAATGAGAAGGTTCATTCTCAGCTTGTTCTTCAGTTCCGAGGGATATCTGGAATTCAGCTTCTTCACTTGAAATCATATTGGTTTCATTTTCATCACTATAGTTTTCTTGAGCGTCTTCTACAGGGTAATTCAAAATATGCAGTTCACCAACTTCATCAGATCTCGCATCAGATCTACTGAGGAATCCACACTTTGATGATCGAGTTGATGATCTTTTGTCTTGTCTGTGAGGTAATCGTTCAATCCGATTTGCAAAACTTCGAACATCTCCATCAGGATATTGTCTAGAGTTTAAAAGTTCTGTTTGAAGTTAATCGATTGTCCGTCATTCAAGGTACTGATTTTGCAAAATGTTTTCAAAAGCTGGCCAATCATTCATAGTTTTGTATTTAATAATGTTATACGCTGTGCCTGACAATTTAGCTTTAGTAATATTTAAAAACATATCTTGTTGAGCCCTAGTAGTCGCAGTTCCCCATACAACAACACAGCATGAAAGGAATTTATGTAAATTTTTCCTATTACCATCGCATTCCGGTCTCATTTTGAGAGCAAAATCTGCAGTATATGCCATTTCTGAGATATTGTTTGGATTTTGTACAAGAATTGAGGTTCGACCTCTGTTTCACCAACCATAAGAATTAGAACCCATTCAGACGAATCAAAATGAGATACTGATATATGAAAATAATGGGAAAAATTCCAAGAAATACAAAAATAGATAGAAACTTACAATTTTGTTAAAAAATTTAGTCTTCCAGAAATTTCTAGTGGATTTCGCACGTCTTCAGCTACCCTGGAGTGTAGAACATTCAGGAAAAGAAACGCAGCTGCAGTAGCTTCCTCTTGAATTCGCCGGAAATAATCAAGGCCGAAACAAAACCATCCGTAGCTTCCACGTTGCTGAGTATCTCGCTACTTCACTTAACCCTTTCTGATCCAACGCAACTTTTCGTTGGTATTCCAACACCAATGGAACAATAGATAGATGGCGATTAATACAGATTGTGTACAGATGTTGAAAATTATAAATGTTGAGTGTTACAAGTCTCGTGGCAAAATCCCTGCATTTTCCTGGCTCTCTCAGTTTTATACGCGACGCTTCGTCACAGAAACGACGCTTTCTTGACATCAATTTTGACCAATGAAAATTAAGAATACAATTTTACTTATCAATAAATTCACCTGACAATACGATGTTCTGAATAGAATTTTGTGCTGATCAGCAATATCGTTATCGTTTAATTGGATCAAAGAATTCAGCAGAAATGTAATGTTATACCTAACATTATATGATATTATATCATTTTTCGTAACAAGTGTATTTGATAAATATCAATGGAGTTTCTTAAATAATCAACTGGAAAAATTATAGAATATGATATTTGAATATATATTCATGCTAACCTCGTAGAGGGTGTGGAGTGTAACTTCACAACATGATCCTCAAATTAAAAAAATTTCAGCACATTTTTTACAATACCCTTTTGGGAATGATTACCTCAAATCTCTCAAATGAGATGATACCTTTCAGAATTGGATGCCAACAGTCAATCACAAACATTGGCTTTTGGATCATCTCTTTATCAGCCACACCTTTCATCAACTTCTTGAAGTTATCCTTAGTGGGTTGCCATTTACATTGGAAAGTATCAAGATTATCTATGGGATCATCATAATTAACATCAAAATTATCCAGTGCATGTTTCATGAGTTCTGCATCTGAAGGTGACATATAGTCTATAAAGTCACTAGTTAGATCAGAATGAACTTTTCCAAATATGGTTCTTTCCAAAAAAGTCTTCGAAAGTTGGACAGGAAAATAGTTTCCTTCAAGCAGCCCCATGGCAAGAATTTTGGCTACTGCATGCTGCCCATCGCTCATCATTGAAATCATGACTCAAGATTGGTACTTTGGTAGCAGTGCCAACTGTGTACTCAACATAAAAAGTTTGTCAAAACTCTGATAGGGTATCTCGAAACACCCCTCCACCATCAAATGCTTTTTCGTTTTGTTCGTTTGGCAGAAACATATTATGAATCTCTATTTTGCTGTCGACATTCAGTGACATAAATTCTTTCACTAATTCTTGTAAAAGTTGACCCCCATGAAGTATCATTTTCCTAGTTTCATGTCTATCAATAGGTGGAAGTTGGGTTTCACCGGGATTGTCATTCATGTTAACACCATCAGTTTGAGTATCAGGCTCTGAAATTACTGTTATTGTTTCATAAGTCAAGGTGGTTTCATAAAAAATTAATTATCATTACATCGTCACATTATGAATTGAAAAAGATAGAGCATAGAAGATAATTGACTGTGTTCATAATAACATTCACATTACACTAAGCAACGATATATAGCTGGGCTCTTATTATATTTTATAATTATAATGTTATGATAATGTGATTATAATGAATTTTTTATGAAACCGCCTTAGGCTCAACTTCATCATCTTCATTTTCATGTGTTCATCACTTTTTCTTTGTTTTTATTCGAGGTTTCATTCCTTCAACACAAATTATTGAATATGATAATCCAAACCTGTCTTCCAATCCATAATTTAGAACAGACCTATATACGGACCCCAAAAATGAGAATATAGTTACGCTTGTCTCCTGGCACAGTATGTGCTCCTGGTGTTTGATTTTATATCTGATGTGTATCTGATACTTGAACATATACGTGATTATACATATTTAACGAAAAAAAAACAAAAAAATAGGACGATTTGTGCATTGTGCGACCATCAACGAAACAAATGGGCGGATGATTGGTGAATGAGCTTATTCCCAAACCTAACCTCAATCATATTCATATTAACAGTTCACGTCACGAGTTGCTCTGCTCATGTCAGAATCGCATCAAATTGGATGGCTGGCGCTGCGACTGATGACTCATAGCTTCTATTATTTATCATTATTACTTAGTAATATTAACTTGATGATGTAATGATAGTGATCGCTATCATTATCTTCATGATTATCATTTCCATCATCATTATCACAATATATTATCATCATTTTATCGTTATTTGAATTTAAAGTTGGTCCCATCATTCATGACTCGGCGGCCACCGTCACCAAGCTGCCAAGCAAGCAGACGCAGAGTCGAGGTGAATCTTATCAAGTGACCACCCCTCTCAATCCACGAACATGCAAGTATTTTTTTCATCCCTTGGAGGGCACGAGAGGGAATCGGTATTATGTTCGAAGAACATCGTGCATACCTATAGGGATGATAGAGAGAGGAGGTTAGGTTTCGGGATCCATTTCGTACATTTGGGGATTATAAGCGATATTTTTTTGTTTACTGAATTTTATCGGACTTGCTCTACCGTGATCTACAAATGCAGAAGCAGAATTGTACCAAACAATACACGTGAACAACCAACCTCGTTTCACAGCGATAAATCAACTCCTACACGGAATACGCTATTAGACGACGACGTGAGTCATTTTGAAGTCGATAAAAAAGGATGCACCTTTTTTATCGCTGATAAACTGCCTGCTCCTTTGATCTAGTAGCTATTAATTTGTGCCTGATGTCACTCCAATTTATGTCGTGTCAAGTTTTATTGATGGGTATGGTTAACGCGAAAATTAGCAAGATGAGCAGTTTTAGGAAAATTTCGTCTGAAGAAACCACGAAAATATGAGAAAATCAATTCCGCAAAGTATCAGTTACCCGAAATCATCAATAAAGGTACTCATTATAGTTGTTTATTTGTATATTGTCGTTGATTTATCTTGCCCAAAAACACTCACTTCTTTTTCAATTGGATAAATCTCCTTACTAACTCGAACATTTTCCATAAGTTATTTCGCTCGAAGAACTGACATTAGACAACATTGCTCGACCTACGGTCACCCAAATTTTTCATGTCAGTTTTTCTCGAGAAATTACTGAAAGGCAAATGTTTTTCGTTACCAAGAGAAATTTATCCGATAAAAAAAGCTCTCGTGTTTTTACTGTCGATAAAATTTTTTAACATTCAAGACATCAATCATGTTGTAAGCCAGAATAATGAATTCAGTGTGCGCAACTCTCGCGAGGGGCTCGTTTATAGTCTCAGTCATGAAATATTCATACGAATACAACACGTGATGATATTTCTCCTGGAAATATCCGTCGATTGACATACTGCAGCCTCCAGCTTGCTGTCAATTTCTGTGATGGTTCATTATCTAATATTACACAGTTGTTTTGATATTTTTGAGTTGCGAAATGATGTGACCGAATCAAAAATAAGCTATCTGTGACATCTGTGACGACATTAATTGACAAAAAATATAATTCGCGGTCGCCAAAGTCATTAGATGACGTTCCGATGACATTAAAAACTACGGAAAAACATGTCTAACTTGGCGTGTTACTTACACGCTACTGTCCATATAGCCTATGTTATGCCCTTGTTGAATGAATCACTATTATAGGAAACCTTTCATAAAATAGAAGGCATCACTCCCTTTTTCCTCTCCAAATTCTCTACACCTCCCTGTAGCCTGTCGTCCAATCTATAGATAGGAAACGTCTAAGTATATTTTAATATGGGCCAAGAATCAAAATTGTTATCAGTTGGATCCATCCCAGCCACCACAACTCTGACATGACATCTCTTATGTCTCGATGAGGTAACACTGCGTTATTACGAATGTTCCATTTCACCTGAAATGGGATTTTGTTTTGGAGTGTTTCTTTCCTTGTCAGGTGGCGGTCGGCGTTCGCGTTTTCATTTCGTGGACTTCGAACGCCTCGTATGGTATAAATGCTGAGATGCGTTTACGTTGGGTCAGGTTCGCACCAGATAGCGGTCAAGAAGCTATCTGGGACAGCCCTGTACTGATGAGAGCCAACAGCTCGAAACCGGTCTGCAGGTAGTCAGCGTTCCTGAACCACTTAAGCGCAGCTCAGCGTTTAGGAAGGAAACACTTGCGATTTTATTCGTTTATACGAACAATCGCATAGATTTCGGGAGGATGTAATGCAATGTTCTGCGTGGCATATAGCCAGGAAAGTAGTTGTTTTTCTCTCATTATCTACCATTATCGTTCATTTTATGAACTAGTATGTGGTAATGACTTTGAGTTTCTCTCTCTTTGTGACCATTGCATTCCACTTTGAGTATTTGGCATTATCCCTAGTTGAATCATATAACAGATTGATCGCTGGAATGAAATTCTGGTTACTTTCATGAATACTGGTAAGTATTTTATGAGGTAAAAGAAGAGCACTTTGAGTAAAAGCTTTGAAATTTTTTGATAAAGTTAACGTTCCGGTTCCTCGAACAAATTCATTGTATATTTGATTTTGACAATTTATACTAATACGTTCTGGAGAATTCAAAACAAGAATCCAAGTATTGGATGAAATTGATTGATGCCATATGTTTTGATACAGAGAAATTAATCTATCATCACGGTTTCCTGGATTTGTACTCGTTGCATGAAATAATTCAACTTCACAACTCAATAATAAAGGAGTTTCCTGCCGACAAGTTTGTAAATATCATATTCTTGGCTATCTGTCACAGGTAATGATAAAATTTAAATCAACTTACCGTCTGTCTTGAAGACGCTCAGTTTCATAAAACTCAAGAATATGTGGGCGTTTTCTATAATTGGCATAACAGGAAAATGTAAATAGTTACGTGCCGACATATTTTGAAGTTCGAAAATAAGTTTTTCCGGGGTTAATATAAAAGGATTCAGCTCTCCTGTCTTAGCAGAAAAGATTGCGTTTATCAATGATTGTGTCTCCAATTGATACTAAACATAAAGTATGATGAAATTAAAAAAAATGTTCGTTCAAATTCAATCGGGCCTCGAAAAGAGCAAGTTCCTTGCCTTCTCTATTGAGGAATTTCTCAATGTTGTCTAAATTTTCTTTCAATATTTGTTCATTTGTATTAAGAGTCGAAATTGTGTGATTGAAGTTCGAAATTGTTGTTTGAACTACATGACTTCATTCTTTTAAAATAACAGCCAAATTTTGTTAATTTTAATAATAATAATAATAATAATAATAAATCGTCTTTATTACTTCTATAAATTATCACAGAAATTAAGTTGAGTAAATACATATTGAAGAAGTAAAGGGCGAAGTTTATTTTTTGTTACACGAGAGAGCATAACAAGAAATATTCGTGCACTGAATCATTTCTTGGTTATAATATTCTGCATCCTCATCGTCTAACTTTCCGTATAAACATTTTGAAGCTTCAGCTACAAAATTAAATAAACCTCTTTTGGACCTAGTTACATTTCGATCTGTTCTGTGACCTATCAATTGATTCAATAGATAATGCTCATTATGATCTTATCGATAATTTGTTTCAATGGCCTAATGAAATTAGAGCATAAATCTTGCAGATAAAGTTTTTGAATTTGACTTTGACGAGAAGATACCGTTCTTGAATGGTAATCTTGCAATACTATCAATTTTTGATTATGTTCTAACATGTCAACCAAAGTAATCAACTCGTATTGATCATTATGCAACTGACTACTTCCTAAATTTTCATAGTGTATACCCGAAGATTGCCTAATCTTGGCGATGGAGTAATTTTCATGTTGTTTCTGTCCCATGCAGTCTCGCCGAAATATCAGTGAAAGTCTGTAACAAAAATATCCCGTTACTCGTGATACGGTTAGAGTCTTTTCTTGTGTACTTTGATGAAATATTTTCCACGTTTTATCGTACAATTTACATCTGAGTCGATTGAAACTATTCGATCTGGCCCTGTATATCGTGGAAAAAGTTTTTTACTTCGACTTGATTTCAGTGACTCGTCGGTTAGCAAAACCTTATCATTGACTTGATTTGTCACATTTTTCGTTGCCTCATCATATATGTTTTTACTGTTTTCTTTGCGCGATATCAAA